CAATTGTCTAGTTATCTTCTAGGTAATTGAACTGGAGGACTTACCAGTTCTTGTTAAAATTGAAAAAAGGGGGAATAATAAAGGAACTGCCCCCGATGCTCTGTTCATTATACATTTTTTAAATGGCAGCACAGCCTATACCATGGAAAACAGAGACCCTCAATCAGTTATCTACCACAATGGCTACAGCCCTGGATCAACAGGCTACCATAGATACATCTATTAGAGGTAGAATAAAGAACAGGTGGATATCTTATGGCAGCTTGCCCAATTGGGCTGTAAATGGAAAACTCCAGCCTTATGTGTGACCAGTGTACCATATGAAAACTTTATAAAAGTGGCTAACTTGTCCCGAGAATTGTCTTTGTATCTTGCAGGAGAATTTTGATGATTTGCTGTCCTCCTTGAGACGGTTCATCGTGACAATCAACTCCACGCGAGTGGACATAAGCCTGGCCAAAGGATTCCAGTCCTGGGTTGTGTCCTTCATCCCCTACTTCAAAGAATGGGTGGGGGTGGAAATGTTTTGGAACGATCCTACGCTATGGAATAGTGTTTCTCCTCTGGATGGTCTGCTGACTCAAATCCCAAAGCCATAGGGACAAAGTGGTTATCTGCACCAGCGCTGGCTGCCCTGGAACAGGGAGCCTCTGCTTATGTGTGGTTATCTATGTTAAAGCAGTAAGGTTTAAGCCAACCAGCTCCTGCACCCCTAGGACTATGGTCCATGGCACAGGGTGGAGTGCTTGGCTTAGCTAGCCCTGAAGGTTGTCGAGCTAAAAAGCATCACACAGAGAATGGCCCTCTCTGAGAGATATGTCGTCCTACATAAGGGTTTCCTGCCGTATATTCCCTTTCCCAGAAAAATGGCGGAGGGCAGGCCGGATAGGTTCCAGGTGTCATGAGCCTAGGGGCAGATTCCGTGTAAGCCCATTTTAATGTTTCCATTTTGGGAAGTGCGACCTCTATCTTTACCTTTTGAGGGAGTTGCCTTTCTGCAAAGAAGTAAAATTAGGGGGAGATGTAGAAGGCCGCAGCCACATCCTCCATCATCAAGATGGCGCTGACATCCGGCTTCACCACCAGGTGAACGCACACGTGTTGGTATCTTTTCACTTCTGTGTCCCCGCCTACTCCCGAGGCATCACCTGGGACTGGGAGCAACGGACCAATCCAAGAGTGACACGTCCGAAGCAGGGTCTGTTTCCTATATAAGGGATGGGTTCCATCATATCTGGGTCTCCGCCATGTGGCTTATGCTCTAGCTCCCAAGAGGATTAAAGCTATTTCTACAAAAGTATCCTATGTGTCCCGCGTGATTCTTACAGGCGAGACGGTAGCGCGGGACAGAGCTCTACATTTTTCTCTGCTACCCTCCCTGCCTCTCCCCTCCCTCCTTCAACCCTCCCTCAAGGTCCCCATGCTCCCAATTTACTCAGGAGATCTTGTGTTTTTCTACTTTCTACTTCCCATGTAGATTAGATCTATGTAAGTCTCTCTTAGTGTCCTCATTGCTATCTAGGTTCTCTGGGATTGTGGTTTGTAGGCTGGCTTTCTTTGCTTTATGTTTAAAAACCACCTATGAGTGAGTACATGTGATAATTGTCTTTCTGGGTCTGGGTTACCTCACTCAAAATAATGTTTTTTAGCTCCATCCTTTTCCTGCAAAGTTCAAGATGTCATTATTTTTTTTCTGCTGTGTAGTACTCCATTGTGTAAATGTATCACATTTTCCTTATCCGTTCTTCAGTCGAGGGGCATTTAGGTTGTTTCCAGGTTCTGGCTATGACAAACAAAGCTGCTATGAACATAGTTGAGCACATGCCCTTGTGGGACCATTGAGTATCCTTTGGATATAATACCCAAAAGTGGTGTTACTGGGTCTTGAGGAAGGTTATTTCCTGATTTTCTGAGAAATCACCACACTGACATCCAAAGGGGTTGCACCAGTTTGCACTCCCACCAGCAATGCAGAAGTGTTCCCTTTTCCCCACATCCTCTCCAGCATAAGTTGTCATCAGTGTTTTTGATCTTGGCCATTCTTTCAGGTGTAAGATGGAATCTCAGAGTTGTTTTGATTTGCGTTTCTCTGATGACTAAGGATGTTGAACATTTCCTTAAGTGTCTTTCAGCCATTTTAGATTCCTCTGTTGAGAGTTCTTACTATTTTTATTGGATTATTTGTTCTTTTGGTGTTCAATTTCTTGAGTTCTTTGTATATTTTGGAGATCAGATTTCTGATGTGGGGTTAGTGAAGATCTTTTCCCATTCTGTAGGCTGTCATTTTGTCTTGTTGACCGTGTCCTTTGCTTTACAGAAGTTTTTCAGTTTCAGGAAGTCCCATTTAGTAATTGTTTCTCTCAGTGTCTGTGCTATTGGGGTTCTATTTAGGAAGTGGTTCACTGTGACAATGTGTTCAAGTGTACTTCCCACTTTCTCTTCTATAAGGTTCAGTGTGGCTGGCTTTATGTTGAGGTCTTTGATCCATTTGGACTTGAGTTTTGTGCACGGTGATAGATATGGGTAGGATTGTGTTTTGAGGAAAGATGGTGGGTACCATTCAGCTCATAGGCAGCAAAGAGCCAGAGAGGGGCCCAGAGTGCTCCTGTACCCTGCCTCCTCAGCACTCAGGAGGACAGGAGTTCAAGGTCAGCCTCAGCTATGTGGTGAGTTCAAGTCTAGCTGGGGCTGCATGAGTCCCTGCCTTAGACATATACCTCTGTGTCCTCCCAGACCCCCAAAACCAAATCCAAACCCAAAAGGAGACACCAGGAGAAAGGCTCTTTTGTTGAGCGTCGGAAGGGACTTCCTGTTTGACTAAGGTAGGCAGAATATGCTTGGTGGCAGGCATCCCTCTGACAGTTTCTGGAGGAGGTGTACATTTCCCAGATTTTTCAGTCATACCCTGATTACAGCACAAATTTGACTCAATAGCTCATTTCCAAATATTTGCTACCTTGTGGAGCCAAGGTGGGGCCCTGGATCTTTAAGAAGGCCTAGCGGGTACCGGAGGCAGCGATCCACTCCCCTCTGTCTGGAAGGCCTCTCTATGGCTGCACAGCCTCCAGGAAGTAAGAAGTGGGAGTGATCCTGCTGCTCACCCCAAGAGAACGCGGGCGCCCTGCAAGAAGGGGCTGTGGCCCTGCCAAAGACAGTGTGGTATGGGGGTTCCCCTGCAGGCTCTACAGCAGGCAGGGAAAACCTAATCAGGGTGAGGCAAGAATGAAACTCGGTTCCACCCGATTTTACTGGTCCAGGACTTCTAGAGTCTGGCCCAGATCATTTTACTTTAGCCATACTTAAACAGAGCCCAATTTTGAAAAAAAAAAAAAAAAGCATCTAGATAACAATGAACTCAGCTCCACAAATACAGTGAAGTTTAAGACGTTTATATTACGGCTCTTTGCAAAGTGTATATGTTTTCATAGTAGGATGAGTTCTTGTTTACTTAGAAACAATGCTCAAAACTAAGTTCTAGGGACAATGACTTTGGTAAACACAATGCCTGTAGGTAACAGGGATGATCTGGCCCGAAGAAAACAGAAGCCATGTGGGCTGTTGAAAAGCACAGGTGACCTCACTCATGAGAACGAATTTTAGGCTGGGCAGTGGTGTTGCACATCTTTAATCCCAGCACTCGGGAGGCAGAGGCAGGCAGATCTCTATGAGTTCGAGGCCAGCCTGGTCTACAAGAGCTAGTTCCAGGACAGGCTCCAAAGCTACAGAGAAACCCTGCCTCAAAAAATGTAAAAAAAAAAAAAAAAGAGAGAGAGAGAGAAAAAGAAAAAGGAGAGAACAGGTTTAATGACCTAGAAGTGATGCTAAGGCTTTCAGGGGAAAGGATGTTGTCTGGGTCCTCAGATAACAGAGACAGATAAACAGAAGCTCTAAGAAACTCCCTCAGGGGCCTTTTTGTGCGCCTTCCTCTCTTCCTCCACAGACTGGAATTTATTAAATCCTCACTCAGTTACTACAAACAGCCTCAGTACATCTGGACAGCCTACACTGGCATGCTCGACTTTCAGTGGTGGTGGCAACTTCTTCTCTGCACAAAAAGTCTGGAAATTTTTCATATCTAAACTTGCTCTCTCCTCTGTTTCTCCTAACTACACCTCTCCGGGGTGAAAGACCCCCGATTTGGGGAGACTCTCACTCGAGCCTCGGGATGACGCGAACCCCCCCAGTAACTCATGAGAGACCGTCCTTGCTGCAATCACACGAGGTTTAATGACAAGACAACAAGACAAGACGGGGACCAGTGCACTGGGGCCGCAACTCATAACCCACGCAGGGGAAGAGTTCGACCCCGAGTGACCGGGAGAAGTAGTTTTTATAGGAAGAAACCACACAGTCCAGTAATCCGAAAGGGGGGGCAGGGAGGGTGTCACAGAAGATTCCAAAAATTCCAGTGATGATTACAAAGGGGCAATTCCCTGCCTCTCAAGATCATTCTCTAAGGTCCTAATCAGCTAGTTCCTATTCCGGTGATAATTACTAGGGGGTGACAATTACTAGAGGGAATCTCTTAGTCTCTCAAGATTACTCTCAAGATTACAATCCACCTTTATCTTCAGCTAGTTCCTGGAACCCTGGAACTGGTTAACCTTAGATTTCTGATTCTTCTCTTCCTGCTAGATTTTTGGCTCTATTTTCCTGTTAGGGGGATCTGGATTTATCCAGGTCTTTCAGGGGTAACTCTTACCATGGAGACCCCCCCCCACCTCTAGCCACCTCTAGTAGGTCTGGGAAATTGCTCCTTCTGAGGCTACCAAAGACCAGTCCAGTCCCCATAATTCCCCTGTCCATCTCTCCCTCACTGGGCTCACCCCGTGTCTGTCTTCTCTGTTCTATCATTATTACTATCCTGAAAACAAAAATCACAAAAACAGGGTTTATGATGGAATTTCTGAGTTCACTCCGCAGCAGACAGGAGAGCACGTCACACTGGCAGCCGAACTGTGTCCCTTAGGTGCTATTAGTTTAAAAGACATGAAGGGGTCATGGAAAGCAACTGAGACTTAACTGACTGTGAGACCCTGAGATTTAACTGACTTGCAACTTCACAGACTCCACCTTAAAAGGTGGGGCTTCTTTTAGGACAACCTAGGATTGACCTCAGTTCCAGGAATGTGCTGATAGAGAAACTGACAACCAATTGGACAGTCAGCTAAGGTGTGAGACCGAAAAAGTCTCTGAAGACATCCACCCATCCACCGTCGCAGATACCTGGTCAGTAATTTATGGTTCTATGTTTCACGCCCCAAAACTGATCAATGGTTTCAGGGTCTGTACCCTCCTTAACCCAATCCCAAGACGCCAAGACGCATACCCTTCACTTGAGGCATTTCCCCTTAACGCTAGTCTTTTCTGAACTCGGGCCACATTCTCTTCTCGTCCGCTGCATCGCTGTGCTGGAGGTTTGTGGTTTCCACTTAAGCTTACTAAAAAGACCCTCTTGCATTTAAGTCGCAAAACAGGCTCGGGCCGTGTATTCCTAGTCGCGGGCTTAAGAGCACTGTGTGGCAGGACTGAAATTAGTAAAAAGATTCAGGAGAGGCTATTAGTGAAAATTCAGCACAGTTGCAATGAGGGTCTTGTTAAGTTGGGAGCCTAGACCCCAGCCCCTGGCATCTATCCCAGCCCCCAGGTCTGAGAGTTGTTTGGTCTGGACTCAACATCCCAGCAGGTCAGGACCACTCGCACAGAGTATTTAAATGAACTCTCAAAAGAGGAACACTTGGTGATTTGGCTTGACTGTGAATTTGCTTCGGCAGAGAGCTAATTCCTAACAGGTCTAAGAAAGTGCTTTGAAGATTTGAGAACGTGAAAGCTAAAGAAAGTTCTAAGGGTCCAAGAAAGTGTACTGTAGTGTCGGGTGTTTGGTTTCAGTCGGGTCTGTGGGAGAAACAGGGTTACTCTAGGATGGATTGTAGTTTTTGCAGCCGCAGAGGGGCCGCAGAGAGGGGAGCCAGCTTCTGGGGAACTGAATGACTGTAGTTTTGCAAAAGACTTTTTTATTGTTATACAGTTCACACCTTGGCAAGTCAATTTCTGCACACAAAACCTCTTATCTGAGGCTCCCCAAAGAGACAAACGCTAAAGCAATTCTCAGTCTCGTGTCATCCATGGTTTTACAAGTGTCCCCTTGCAATCAAGTTTTGCAGAGGCTTTGAACCTTCAGGAAGCCCTCAGGTAAGATTTACATACTTCAAACAAAAGGTGGGGGGCACCTGCTCTGTGGGAACTCCCCCAGAGGGAGAGTTGCTAAAGTTCTGAGGGACTGGGAAAGGGATTTAATTTAAGACTTGTGAACAGCAGCTGCGAAGGTCTAAGACTGTTCTCAGGTAATGAGGAATGTTTCAGATTTCTTTTCCCCTCTAGGCTATTGCTGTATTAAGATATCAAAAGTTCGGAAAGTCTATTCTCAACAATTCACCAAGACTGAAGAGCCAGAAATAAAAAAAAACTTAAGCCTAAATACGTTCTGGGGAAATTGAAGTCACTGTTAACTTTTAACAATTACTTTCTGCAATCCACACATCTTCAAACACCTGATCTTTGATAAAGAAGCAAAAAAATATCAAATGGAAAAAAGAAAGCATATTTAACAAGTAGTCCTGGCTGAAGAGTCCAGGCATAAGAAAATAAAAATGTAAAAATAAAGAAATATAAAGTTATAAAGTTATAAGTCTAGGAGAATAAGAACAGACTATCAGCAGCTTTCTCAGCAGATCAAGGATCATTCATTCACAGTGAGCTATTTTCTCAGATGTTTGGGAAGCGTAGGTCATTTTACAACTGGCTGTTTTATTTACAAGGCCAGAGTGTCTCTCTACAAATTAAGAGCAGTGTCCTGACCATCCTTAATAAACAGTAGATGTGAACTGAGTTTAACCTTTAGGAGACAGAGATATGTGACCTCTGGGTCAGACACCGTCTCTGTTATGGGAAACTGGCACCATCAGAGGAGAGGCATGACCTCAGTTTACACCCGGAGGTACCAGGAGACAGTGGATAAATAAAAAAAGGTTTAATTAATGAGCTCTGATAATGGAGGTTGTAAAGTATGGCAGTCAATATCTGAAAATTTACCTAAAAATAATGTGAAAGGCTTTTCTTCTAAGTTCTCAGCCCAAGAACCAGTTAATCCTAATTTATTAACCTTCTAGTGTTACAAGCAGCCCCTTTTCTGACGAATTGCTAAAGATATCTGTTTTCTCGCAATTAGTGACTTTCGTTGTAGTCTCCCCTAAAACATATTTCATGATGGCTGCCTAATTACTCATTGACACTAGCACTCACTCCCCTCTTTAGGGTCTCCACTGACCAACCCAAGGGTCAGGGCAAGGTTGTAAAATTCTTTTGTTCAGGGATAATGCCTGGTGCCCTTGCTATAAAAAGTAGGTTCAAAAACCAGCCGTTTGCCACAGCCTAACAAACACCACCTCTGGCTGTGGTCTCAGCTAGCTGATAAGCTTCTGTGCCCCGCGGTATTTTATTTTTATTTTCTATTTTTAAGTTTGCTTCTGGTTTTCCTAGGATCTGGTTTCTGGAATAAAGTTTGCTTCTGGTTTATTAGACTTGGTGGTGTTCTCATCTTTGTGCGACCCCCCTGGACCCAACACTGGCATAACTGGATATCAACATGTAGAAGAATGAAAATAGACCCATATCTATCACCATGTTTCTGCAAGTCCAAATGGATCAAAGACCTCAACATAAAGCCAGCCACACTGAACCTTATAGAAGAGAAAGTGGGAAGTACATTTGAACACATTGTCACAGTGAACCACTTCCTAAATAGAACCCCAATAGCACAGACACTGAGAGAAACAATTACTAAATGGGACTTCCTGAAACTGAAAAGCTTCTGTAAAGCAAAGGACACGGTCAACAAGACAAAATGACAGCCTACAGAATGGGAAAAGATCTTCCCTAACCCACATCAGACTGAAATCTGATCTCCAAAATATACAAAGAACTCAAGAAATTGAACACCAAAAGAACACATAAACCAACAACAACAAAAAAAATGGAGTACAGATCTAAACAGAGAACTCTCAACAGAGGAATCTAAAATGGCTGAAAGACACTTAAGGAAATGTTCAACATCTTTAGTCATCAGAAAAATGCAAATCAAAACAACTCTGAGATTCCATCTTACACCTGAAAGAATGGCCAAGATCAAAAACACTGATGAGAGGTTGTGGGGGAAAAGGGAACACTTCTGCATTGCTGGTGGGAATGCAAGCTGGTACAACCCCTTTGAATGTCAGTGTGGAGATTTCTCAGAAAATCAGGAAATAACCTTCCTCAAGACCCAGTAACACCACTTTTGGGTATATATTCAAAGGATGTTCAATCATGCCACAAGGACATGTGCTCAACTATGTTTATAGCAGCTTTGTTTGTCATAGCCAGAACCTGGAAACAACCTAAATGCCCTTGACCGAAGACTGGATAGGGAAAATGTGATACATTTACACAATGGAGTACTACACAGCAGAAAAAAATGACGACAGCTTGAATTTTGCAGGAAAATGGATGGAGCTAGAAAACACTATTTTGAGTGAGGTAAGCCAGACCTAGAAAGACAGTTATCACATGTACTCACTCATAGGTGATTTTTAAACATAAAGCAAAGAAACCCATGGTGTAGGAATTCCTTCTGTTTATGTATTGCTTTCATTGGTTAAATAAAGAAACTGCCTTGGCCTTTTGATAGGGCAGAACTTAGGTAGGCATGGAGAAGACAGAACTGAATGCTGGGAAGAAGGGCAGACAGAGACACGCCATGGATCTTCTGCCTGAGACAGATACTGGTTAAAATCTTGCCAGTAAGCCACAGTCACGTGGCGATACACAGATTACCAGAAATGGGTTAAATTAAGATGTAAGAATTAGCCAATAAGAAGTTAGAGCTAATAGGCCAGGCAGTGTTTAAATGAATACAGTTTCTGTGTGGTTATTCCAGGTGTAAGCTAGCTGGGTGGTCGACAAGCAGCTGTTAGAGAGCCAGCCCACAAACCACAGTTCCAGAGAACTTAGACAACAATACAGACACTAACAGAGACGTACATAGATCTAATCTACACGGGAAGTAGAAAAAAAAACAAGGTCTTCTGAGTAAATTGGGAGCATGGGGACCTTGGGAGAGGGTTGAAGGTGGGAGGGGAAAAGCAGGTAGGGGAGCAGAGAAAAATGTAGAGCTCAATAAATATCATTTAAAAAGTATAAAAAAGACTGACATTTAAAAAAATTACTTTCTGCATTAAGGGCATGTTTAACAATTGCTTCCTGCCTTCCAGCTAGACAGTTATGGTGGGCAGAAGTTAGCGTCACCTCTATGGGATCTGGGACTCCCCGCTCTGCGTTCCCTTAACCTTAACTGTCCTCCTATGGGGCGCTACTCTCTGCCTTGTTTTCTCTCAGGGACAGCAAAGGACAAACATCTTAAGTTCGTATCCTATAATCAAAAGTTGTAAATCTCAAAATGTAATTTGACTTTAAGCCTGACCTCAAGGGTGTGAAATGTCTTTGAACAACACCTGGTGCTTGGTTTTATTTTGAGAAGAGACTCAAACCGGCTCCTACTGTCGCAGACTCTTACTGCGGCCCCAGTCAGCTGCAGTTGAAAGGCTCCCTAGTGGGCGTCTTCCCTCGGGAAGGACCCCGTGCCCAGAGATCAGTCGAAAACACGCAGCCGGATGCAAACAGCAGAAGGTTTATTGGTGGATACGCAGGTACCTGGGCGACAAGTCTCTCGAAGAGCTTGCGCGCCTGCAGGTTGGGGGTGAGGGGTTTTTATAGGGGAGCAAAAAGCAAGGTTTACAGAAGCGAGATGCAGGGTGGTAAATTTTTAACCTTAGATAACATTGAGGGGACTTCTCAGCGGTTTATTGTTCCTCTCATCCTGCCTTCCCCTTTCCTGGCTGGCGACCAGATGTCTGATAGCATAGCCCCTGATTCGTGACGAGCCCCGCTTTCTACGTGACTCAGGCCTCGCAATCTTCTCTTTCTTTGTTCCTATGACCTATCCATAAATCTCATGTCTCGCAGCCAGATGAGGCTGTCTTTGCTCAGGTGTCTTTGCTTAGCAATCTGGAGGCCCTGAGCCTGTTATTTGCTCAGCATTCCAGGAGGTCCTGAGCTAGTTATCTATGAACCTTTGCAAAACGGTATAACTGTGGTTAAATCGAGTTGGGGTCCTTCA